ATTATTCATTATTCATGTGAAAAACGGGTGCTCAATTTTGGTTATATGTTTTTGATAACGGGTCAAACGCTACAGCAAACGTGATATTTCTTATTTGATTTTTATTGAAACGGATTATTATTTAGTAATAGTTTCATTAATCATATTTAACATACTAATCGCTGATGCAATTAAAAATCAACAAAAAAGTGTTGGTGTATCAACCCACCCTATAAATATACCAATTTATCGCATACAATACTAAATGTGAAAACTACATACCTCAGCATTTTCTCTGATGCACGTCTGGCAGCAGTGATCGTACTCTGGCTGGGTACCCATTTCACAACACGGTTTGGATCAGCCCGCATAGGAGAATGAATCTTGATAAGCTTTTCATTTAGAAAATAAAAACATTAAATTAGTTAGAAAATACAAGGAGTAGGTGGATTATCCGAACTTACTCCTAAACACTCCATCATCTGGTAGTAAGCCCTACCCTGCAACGGGGTATGACCTTGTCGAGACTCTGAGAAATATCTTGTCCTGAAAGCAATCAGTTACAATGCACAATTCTTAGCAACCGATATTTTGTTATCAAATATCAAGAATGTAAAGATAGGAGAAAAGTTTATATAAGTTTGTGTACCATTCTTTATAGCCTGGATCCACTGTAAATCCATACATGTCAACTGTATCACATACTGAAAGAGCAAATTCAAGAGCCTTGAGCCCAGTTCCCTTTGCTGCTGAACCAAATGATGCACCTAACATGAGATATACGCGATTGAGAATTGGAACTTCCTACAATATAAAATTCACAACTCTGTTATCTACTGTAAAAACATAAAATGACACGTCATAGTGGGATGCCAAGTAACAATTATGCTCACCCGAATCATTTTGTTCATGATGTCATGGATTGTAGTTTTGACAAGCAGCACCTCTTTTCCAGCTTCTGTAGAATGTGAAAAGTTTAGTATGCTTCTAGTGAAAGCATATCAAGTTCACACATGCAGAGTTATTACAATACCATATAACTCAGCAACTTTATCCAGAGCTTTAGCAGAACCTCGGTTGAGTAGGCGAAATGTACTTTTGTGACCCACATGTTCTGTGTAATTCTTCATTGCAACAAAAGAGGGAGAAGAGAGAGAGAGAGAGAGAGAGAGAGAGAGAGAGAGAGAGAGAGAGAGAGAGTTAAATAGTTTTAATTATATGCTGAAAATTAGATGTAATAGAATAGATACATACATACCTGGATTGGTGCACCATTTTCCCTTAGAACAGCATCATAATCATCAATCTCTTTACCAAACTTTGTCTTTAACAGATCTCCTGAGTTACCAATAACTGCACAGCGTTTAAACTGGTGTGGGACATATGGTGGTGTTTCAGGTAATACCAAAGAAAGTTTCTCCATGCATAGAGTTTTATTTGCACAATTGTTACTGCATAAGACATGCAACACATCAGACTGAAAATTCACTACTTCTTGAAATTTGAAGAAATTTACCAGAGCATTTTTGTTTTTGTAATGGTTTGAGACTTACAGGAGTATTCCTTTATTAATCCTCCGCCATGCATAATCTTTCCATCCATTAGGTAAAGCATCAATGAACTCCTTGGTGAGAATAGTTGTACTGTTTCGTACCTGGACAACTCAGCTTATTAGAAACAAAACATTGACAAAATGTAGATGAACTCCCCACATGGAATTTCCTTAGTATAAGGTGGCCTCATGACAAAACAATAACATATCGAGACCATGTATTCTACTTTTTTGTGTTAAGTAAGGCGGCATCATGTGTAGATTTCCTTAGGCATAAAAACAATTTGCTTAAAAAAGGCTTCAAATTTGGCAAAATGACAAGTATAGAACTGAGTAGACATTAGATACTAACCTGCTCCCATGTGGCAACTGCTTCACACAGATTGAACTCAAAAGATAAGCCCTCTACATTCCCAGTTTTGGGGTCTTTCTGTGAAAGCAGATAATTCAGATATTAATTACAAACTACAAGGTATAGGTACATCTGTCCAACAAGAGGCAATACCCCTTTGTACCTGAAATTCAAAAATTTGAGATAACCTACCCATTTGGGGATGGTATCACTAGGGAACTGTAGTGTAACTTTGCAGTAGTCTCTGCCATTGATAGCCTGCAGTCCTAATCCATTGGCCCTCTGAATCAATGTGAACAAAGTAAGCACATCATATCATAGTGATGGACAGTTAGTGCTCCTCTTCTAAGAGTTACTGCATATGCTTTTTAATCATATATGACAAGCCTGACTTTGGTATGGAACAGAATCACAGATACATCAATGCATGTATTAGGTATTTATATTTGTTACATATGAAAATGCACACTAGGCATCCTTTAGGATTAGGGTTTGCACTCTTTCCATCAATTCACAGCATGCAGTTGCACACATCAGACCTCTGAAATTACCAAACAACAGGCTTTTACGTTTTTGATGGTTCTATATCCTCAATATATAAATTGGTACTCTATATGCATCAAGACGCAAATATGCTCTGAATCAGCTTAGTAGCTCTATCCTAGATCTTCACGCCATGAAGGCTTATGAGATGTAATGAAATTGTTAATTAATATATTCATACAGCATAATCCATTAACTAACGCTTCCCAGTTCAATAATATCTCTAGTGAACTCAGTATAGCTACAAATTTAACAACCTATAGCCGTATTTGGCTTTTTGAACCATCTAAGGTCATATAGCTACTTGTAAATACTCCATTTTACTATAAAATATTTCATGTCGAGTTCACAATCAAGAATCCAACTAATTTATATGAAAAACTCACCACACACTTTTGAAATCCACTTTGCAACGACTGCAACGCTTCCATTTCTTCATCCGAAATGTTGAGTGTTCCGTCTACTCAAGAGTAGCAATTATAACATCAAATCAAACTAAACAAATAATATAAAATTTGCAGATGCAACTCAGAGAAAACAAAAGGAAACATACTTAGGTTAGAAACGCCGGTGATATAGATGAGAATAGCTGCAACTCCAGATGCTAAAGCAACAATGAATGCCAAATGTAAGAGCCTCATTTAATGCCACTTCGTTTACTGATCCGCTGAGATTTTCGATCAGTTACTTCAATTCACTAGGCATTCGACAGAATCCGAGCCCCTAATTCTTCGGAGAATAATACTAATACCACAGTCGGTGTTGGAAATCACGAAGTGATTCTAAAGGCTTCTCGATCTGATTTGCAAATGGAAGACATTTTATAGTTGCAACAAAAAGTAGCACTTAACTCCCTTACATTATGTACTATCTTGCTTTCTATCCCCTATACTTTTGTTAACGTATCACAACTTCTCGAAAGTCCTAATTATTCAGATGATATAAAACGAATGTAGGAAGCCAAGATACGTTGAACTCTATGAGTTGTTATTATAAAGTATTATGAACATTTCACAATCCATTAAAACTTTATCTTTTTTACGATGCATTAAATTTTATAAAATTCAGTAAACTATCGTATCATTATTCTACTATCTTTCTTTTTAAATATAATTGATATAACGTAAAATTTAAAAATACATTAATTAAAAACAATTAAACTAAATTTTAAAAGTTATGAAACCTAAAAGTTCAAATAAATAAAATGATATTTATCAAATACTACGATACCTAAAATATACCAATTAAAAGATATGATACATATAAATTATTATATTTTATTTAGCTATTCTCACAACGATTCCTCCAAATACATTATTCATTTGCTAATTATTAAAACTTTAAATTATTAATATACATTTTTGAATGCCATTTTATATTTTTTTAAAATATAATAAAAACTAATATATAAAGCAAAAATTATTTTTTTTATCTAACGTAATATATTAAAGATTTTAACGAATTATCAACATATATCTATATGATTTTTGGCAAATATAATATATAATGAAGGTCAACCATTTACTTACTATATAGGCTAATGAGTGTTCAACTCTTCATGTTATCGGATGACATGCCATCAACCCATTATACATAGAACTTTAATTAAGTCATATGCCATTTTCTATTGAACTCTCACTATGGATGTCCTAAGGCTATATGTTACGTATCCCCCGAAAAAAAAGGATCGGAGTGCTAAGGTCGCTTCGAGTACCAACGGGAACATCAAGCCGACCGTTAGTGGCCCTTGCTTGGGGCTTACTTACAATATCTCTCATACATTTTTCTTCTTTTTTGTGAGTCGTCCTTCTTCTCTCATTCCGTCTTTCCCTTTTTCTCCTTCGTATATTGTGTTTGTGTTTGCTTGTACATTACTCCTGAAAGATGAAAAATAAGTTTAACATGTTTTGAAAGAGGGTGTGAACGATGTAGGAGGGGAGCAATGTGATATTAACATCACACAAAATGATAAAAAAAAATGAATAAAGAATAATAATTAGTCTAACAATTCAAGCAATTTAGTCCAATTTGCTTGAGAACGTTAATTATAGAATTTATCATATATTATTATAATAAGGTGTGCGACTTTTAAAATGTTGAACATGTCATTTTCTAGATTTTTAAAATTTTTTATTTTTCACTTGTCATTTTATTGTATTTTTTATTTTATTAAATTAAAATTCCACATTTAATGTGTAAGGTAATATATATATAAAGTATTTATTAAAAATAGTTTATATATGTAATGTATTCAATACATTAAAATCTCATTAATTTTAATAATTCAAATTTTTCTCAATTTTCTTATAAATTCAAACTTTTTAAATTGTTAAAATTTTATATTTGTTTTTTTTTTTTAATTAAACCCATATAATACATGGATCTCACACTTAGTTTTATTTAATATTTTGAAGTATAAATATGTACATTGATGCCATGTTATGGAAAGACACGTCTTCGTAAACTCATCATTCTTAATTATGTTTTTTTTTCATTTTTTAGTTTTGTTAACATTCCCAAGTCATGTTTTTTTTTGTATTCATAAAAAAAAGGTTTGTATTTGTCAGTTGTTTACCTTGAGGGTAGTTTCTGTCACTAGTTAAAACGTTGGGGGAGGGGACTCGTTTAGTTGGCCCTCTTTCTAGTTCTAGTAGGAGAGCATGGGATCATCGTCTCCGCCGTCTAGCCATCACTAGCAGTAATAACAGAAGCAGCTCCTCCATCTTGACTGGTTAGTTCTCTGCTCGCTCTCACTCTCCTCGCAATCGCACATACACACAGAGATTAGTAAGTGTGTATATGAATATCAATTTTGGTTTTCTCTCTTGCTAGGGTTTTAATTTTGATACAACTTTCTGTAATTCGTTGTTCCATTTTCTTTCAAAATGAAGTGGAGTTTGTTTTTTATTTGGTAGGAAATTAAGATATGGCTCTTGTTGATTGTTAACCAGTAATAATCCAACCATCTAGCACCGAGGCGGTATCCCTTCCTGTTCGCTAATTAAAATAAAAAAGCATTAAGAATCTGATAGCACACATTTTAGGCTTCAATCTTGAACTTTTTGTCCAGTATGCATTAGTTTTTATCTCTAGATTCCCATTGATACGATATTTCTTGATGATCTAAGCTGAAATGTTACTATATTGAAGATGATTCTGAATGATGCTACCATAAACAGAGTCCATTGTGACCTTTAAGAGTCAAATAAGATTGTTGTATATCTGAAAAACCGATAAGAATTGTTGTTGTCCAGGAAGTGTTTCATTAATGTATCAGGAACTGATAATCTCAATAAGTGCAACAGGGAAACAGCTCCCTCTTATTCACTGACCTTATCTTCAACCTCATAAACATACTGCAGTCCATATTACAGGTAGTTTGCATCTTATTATTATGGTCATTGGTCAAACATCATGACAAAGCTCAGGAAGCTCAATCGTCCTACAGGTCATCGAATCTCCATGCTCAGGTTTTCCACTTTTGATGAACCTCATGAATATTGCAAAGTTTTCCACTTTTGATGCTAAATTACATATTTGCCCATATAATCATTACAAAATAGTTTCTCTTTATCATTTGGTACTTCATATACAATTGATTAATAGTAATTCCCTATAACTTTTGCAGGGTACCCTTTGTGCTGCCAGGCGTGCTGCTGCCTTTGTGTGAGGGGATGATGTCATTCACAAACTATGTACAGAGCTGGCTTACCGATACAAGTGAACATCAAACCCATCCTTTGGTCAAATTTTTTTATTCTCATTTACTTAAATATTAACCATGGTTAAACAATATATTGGTGCTGCAGAGACAGGGCAGGAGGATATACAAGAGTACTTAGAATTCGTATAAGAGTTGGTGATGCTGCACCAATGGCATATATAGAGTAAGATTTGTTATCACTTTGGCTTCAAGTCCTTTATTGTCATTTACTTTTTTCTTCCATTTTCCAAAGCATGTCGAATGTCATTTATCTAGGCAGCACTTTATACATATAGCACTTGTAAGCTGTTTCTTTTTTACTTAATGGGCTTAATTTATGTTTCTTTTTGGCTTAATCTGGAGAGAATGACTTAATGGGTTAAGCCAAAAAAACATGTATTAAGACACTTAACCCTTTACCTATTTCCCTTCTCTTTTCCCTCCCAACTTCCCTCAAGTTCAAATTGATTAAGATTGTTAAAATTAATGGGTATTGTGAGATTTATTTATTGGAATCTAAGGGTAAGATGGTCATTTAATCTCATTAAGATGTTTTACTTGGTCTAGAAATGAAGCAACCCTTATGTATACAACAGTTTGACCATACAGACATCATTACCCATTCAGCCACTTTACCTATACAGGATTTAATGATGGAAAAAGAAAGAAACAGTGCCTTAAATTGCAACAGCAGCTTGGTGTTCATTTGTCATTGAAACCTTATAAGTCTAATGGCTCTCTTTTTTTCATGACTTTGAGGATTTATAATTAAAGCATGTTTTTTCAGTATTTTCTTATTGTGAATATTTCTATTTATTAATAGGTTTATAGATAGGGAGAATGAGCTTAGGCAGTCGAAACCCCCAGCTTCACAACCACCTCAAAGGCCAGCATTGGATCCATGGACAAGATCTCAGCGTAGCAGGAGTTTTGCACCTCTTAAAGATGTCAAAAGTGAGGATTAAAGCCTTTTTGTCATTGGAATCATCCATTCTGAAGGGAAATAAGAAGGTATTAGAAACAAACAACAACTTTTAGAATGATATACTGAGTTTGTAGTGACATTTATGGCATTTGAATATTTCATTTTGTAAGGCAGCAGAGTTGATTTCTGCAATGAAAAACTAGGGTTCTACGGTTTGATCATAAATTCGATTTAAAGTTTTGAATCCCATATGATGGTTTGACAAGATTCTAAGTTACTAAAATGTCCTCTTTTTTTTTTGGGAACACGTGACATTTTTCAACATGCATAATATCTTACAAGTACTTGACCCTTTTTTCTAAAAAACCAATGTTTTATAACCAAAGACCAACTTTATAACATATTACAATTACAATGTTGTACTGAAATTGATAGTTTTAGAAACAATGATCATTTCTAAAATTTACTTATGAATAATCTATTTGAAACCTTCACGCGTAATTCATGAATCCATGAATTGATGTCATTGAAAAATGGGGGGCCGGGTTGTCCAGACCCGAATAAGGATCCGACTGACAACTGCCAGCTGGAGAGAGGAGAGATCTCGTTAATTTTCCCCCTTTTGATTTTCTTTTGCAAGCCATAATTCAATTCAACAATCGGGAACCTCCGTTGTTGATCTTAAGAATTTTGAGCACCAAGAATTAATCCATCTCCAAAAACTCATTTGACACTCCTCTCTACAGTATATAGCAATCATCGCAATTGCTTTTGTTCATATTTACTAAGTATCTTATTCAATTTGAGTAATTTTACAGTTTAATATCCCAAATCTTCGTGTTGGCACTCTGGATTCGTTTTTAATATTATAATAGTTTGTGAAAGCTTTATCCTAAATTTGGTTTTTGGTTTGAAACTGGTTATTGATATGGCTGTGTGTGGAATTGTAGTCGAATACGTTTATCGAAGCATGTTCTCAAAGATACAACATCAGATTGAAGATTTGGAAAAAGTATCGGGAATTCTTAGTAGCACGGTGGATTCATATCTTACAAAGTAATGGATTCTCATTTGTTCTAAACATCTTTCCGTATTGATGAAAGATTATGCATTTTGATCCAATGAATTTGCTATTGTAGATTTGTGTGGGATGAGGCAAAGTATCCAACCATGTCTCCTCTTAAGGAGATTGTGGATGGTATTAATGTGCAAGTAGCTAAGATAGATGATGATCTTAAGGTATCCAGTTGTGCTATCTCTTAATGTCTTTTTAATGTTTAAATCAAATTAGTTCATGTGGCATATCCCCATATACTTGTATAGATAGGAAACCATGTTCACTCTAGTGTTAGACCCTAGATTTGCTAGTTAAGATCAGTTGAGATTTGATCCTTGGGATGAAATTGTTCTTATGATAGGAGCATAAATAAAAATTCATCCCAAAAGAATGATTGGACTTGTCTCCAAGAACACCACATAATACATTGATTGCTCATTTTATCGTGATCTGCAACATTATCCTTATTGTTTTCCTTGTTGAAGCACAAATTACTTACTTGAGTTGATACCATGTATTTGGAATATAGTTTTTTGATGCTTTTGTGGCTTGCACTGTGACAGGTACGCATTGCTGAGTATAACAATGCTCACAGTCAACTCAATGCAATTAACAGAAAGCAGACTGGAAGGTAAAAATCTATTAATCCCTATCAATGACAATGAATTATAAGTAGTGTGAGGAGGTAGGATTCAAGGGACAGAAAAAGGTTTCTATTGTATTTCTTATAATCCACCTGACATGACCTGGTTCATTTAATTTAGTGGCACCAGAGGATCTTGTGACTTCAGAACATTTGGTCACCAAAATGTTAGCCACCCATAATCATATCCCGATTTAGTTGATTAAGAAAATAAAAACACACCAAAATGTTACTAACTGCAGGTTTTCACTTCCTGGATGCACTTTTGTGCTGTTTGCTGAGAGCATTTTGAGATACGGATTGCCACCTTCATTTCCGGTAATTAAATTTTGCATCACATCCAAACGGTTGGTTTCCTTCATATGTTTTTTTTTTTTTTTTTTTTTAAATAAAACTTTTATTCGGTTGGTTTCAGTCTGTTGTGTTGTCACCATCGGTCAAGAGTGAGAAGAAAGTCCGTTCCATCCTTGAACTCTATGCAGCAGTTGAAACAGGCAAGTTGTCATATAAATTATAATATGATTTCCATCTCACTGACTAAATTAACTAGTTAGTTTAAGTCTTATACTTGAAGAAGAATATGACAACAAACAATATCCCTTCCCTATATTGAGTTCAAGAAACGAGGTCCAGTCCCCATTGTGTATGTAGGTATTTCTGGTACAATGAATGAATCCTCTCCTCTGGCATGTGTTACCCTATCCATTGAGTGCGGACCATTTGGTAAAACTTGTCTTTTTCATGACTAGAATTTTGGATATATACAGCCACAGGATATGGGTGTTGGTATTCAACATTAAGACTGTTGTAGAATGTAGATCACAAACACTCAACTATGCAATTGAATAAGACAAAAGAAAAAAAAGGAGGAATGGAGGTTCTTCAATACCCCCTCCCCCACGCTATCCCTCCCACCCCAATCCGTTTGTTTGTTTGTTTGTTTTATCTGATCCAACTGAATATAACCGTTTTTGATGAGATTGGATTTGGGTATTGTTCTGGAAAACAGAGGATGATGGAGGAATGGGCAGCTTGGGTGGTGATGCTGACACTCATCCTTATGTCTCCTTCACCATTAATCTTATATGAGCCTTGTGTTGTCACCAGTCTTTCTTGGTTTCAACTCAATGATCTCTTCTGTATTTTAAGCTGTATTAATTCACTCATGACTTTTGCTTCATCCCGACCCTATTTTTTTTATTGTTAATTGTTTTAGGAAGATGCTAAACGGGCACCCGATTATCGGTTATATTTCCAAAGCTGTGTAATAATCTTCGATTTGCTTGAAAACCATGTAAAATCTCAACTCCAAATAAGGTTTTTTTTTTTTTTTTTTTTTTTTTTTTTTTTTTTGTGATATTTGAAATACTGAGATTATTACTCTCTGTTACTCAGTTTCTTTTTCTATTGTCTTTTTGTATTTTGTAATAAAAGATAAATGAATAGACAGTAAACAATATAAAAATACGAATGTTTTCTTTTGCTCATTCCAGGGGAGGGAGTATATGGGTAAGGCTGATACAAGTTACCCAACTCCATATTTCAAATGGGATTGTCATATCCACTATCCACTATATAAAATATATAATCACTCAGATACAAATAGATATATCATATTTATTAATATAATGAAGATAAATTAATAAATTTAATGAATACAAACAAATGACAAGAATTAATATGTGCTCTAATGAAGGTTTTCGAAATTTGAGATATATCCATTTAAAAAGTGGTTAATGATAGATATTAAATGAACTTTTTTTTAAACAGCAGATATTCTCTTAGTGAATTGACGTCAAAATTCTGAAACAACGTATTAGATATGCATATAGCGAAACCTTACATTATCATCAAGTTGTAAGCTAACAAATGTTATAAGCTACAATATAATGTATTTTAATCAGAAAAAGTAATTTGCGCTTAATTGCCTCTTTTTTGTTGATTCATGCATATGTCTTAAATGATTGGTAACTTGCTTGGAATGAGCAGTAGTTGATATATGATATCTTAAGTCTTATCTTTTTTGTCGATTCATGCATATGTCTTAATACGAAAAAATGTACATAAGGAAATAGGAAACACAAGGCTGCTACACTTAAGTAAGTTTAATTTTTCATTTCAAATAATGCAGATTAAACTCAACTTGTCATACTTTGATGCTTTCAAACTGTATTTCTTTTACAAATAAATGATTTCTTTATAACAAAACTACAGTACATGCAAATACCATGGTAAGAAAGTTGTTTCATTCGATTAAAGAAATAGGAACTTGATAAAATAAAATACAACTTGCAACTCATTTGCCTTTCTTTCCTAAATACAACATAATATATATATACACACACAGAGAGAGAGAGAGAAATTTTGTTCCTACCAAAAATTTTCAAAACCACTACGGCCTCGTGTAGCTTTATTTAAGGCTAGTAGATGACATAACACATATACCACACTTTTGCCCTAACATATCATTACCGGTTCATTTTTTCCCTCACCCTACAAAACTAGTAGGTGTCATACCACACATTATCACATTTTTATTTAATTTTAAATATATGTAATATCAACATTATAATTTATTTATAGGAAATTAAAAACCATGAATTTTGATATATATATATATATATATATATATATATATATATATATATATATATATATATATATATATATATATAATAATAATAATTAAAAAAGAAAAAAAGAACAGAAAATAAAAAAGGTGCGGTAAACCAATGACGTGCGGCATAGATACCATATTTTTTTTTTATTAAAATCCGTAGGGTGTTTGTGGCACACTGTTATGCCAAATACGGCAATGTGTGGTGTTGTACGCACTGTTGAGTCTTAAATAATGATTTACAAATCTTCATTTGTCAATGACAAAATTTATGCAGATCCGTCATTCTTCCATTCTTTGATTTATAAACAAAAAGAAAATATACATAGAATCATCATTGAAGACTAACATTAATGGCTATGATGATACTTTGATCAAATTACTCTAAATCAGTTATTACGAAAAACTTGAAAACACAATTGAACATACTTGCTCTATATCCTTCTTTTGAAATATCATAATACGCTTCGACAGAAAACAATCACTAATCACTTGAACCTGTCAAAAACATTAGATAACATATATATATATATATATATATATATATATATATATATATATATATATATATATTATTAAAATATATGTTAGGAACTGAAATAAGCAACATCAAATTAAGAAATATATAAACCAGTGAATTAACGAATCAATATATTTATAACTGATCATGAACATGTATGAGGAGAAAAGATCTAATTTATCGAACAAATTCAACTGTTGATGAAGACCCCATGTTTTCTAGTAGTGGACCCAAAAAACATGATTAAAAATATCATGGTAACAAATTATTTAAACAATACACAATTTTGATCGTGCCTTTTAGAAAAACATATGTATGTGTATTATTACCTTCGATAGTTTAGGAGAGACTAATTAAATGAATTGGAGCTGTTGATAATAGCAAAAGGTTCCTCAAATCCTTGTATTTGTTCTTCTAGATCCCACAAAACCTCTTTATCATTCTGTAAAATTATTTCTATTTTGATTATTCGATATAAACACATGTTATCTACTTATTACCATGAGACAGAAATACCTCGAATCCCACATTTGACATCTGCTGTTCTTGAAATGAAAGCAAATGTTGCTGGTTGGTGGTCATATTCTGCATATTATTATTTTAATTAAATTTGGTTTACATATAAAAATAATTTCGAAAACATTTATGGGTTTTAGATAATTTAAGAATGAGATCAATAATTCAATAAATAATACCTGATGAGTGTTTAGCATGGATGCATCAAAATTCGACGCAGAATAATACATAGGATTTACACAAGCAAGCTTCGAAGAAAGGAACTGGAAATATGATTTATTAATAAGAATAGTAATTAAAAAAAGATAAAACATTATCAATGTTTTTCTCTTTTGTAATGTATTTTAAAATCACATACATTTTGAGTATGAGTATATAAGTTTATAACAAAATTATGAAGCATATTAGATTTTAAATTTGACGATATTAACTTATGACACATGTCCATAAACTTATGAAATAAGTAATTAAAACTTGATTAACATGTTCCTTTTATATATATTTGTCATTAAAAATATTTAATTTAACACTAACCTGAATTTCATTTTGTAGAGACTGAACATAATTAATAACTTCCTCCAACATAAGAACTTTTCCTGTTATCTGGTTATAAAAATATAAAAAAAATCAATTATTCATAATTGACTATTCATTCATACTTAAAAAATAAAAAAAAACTTAAAATTAATTGATTTACCTTATCACACCCTGGAACAATGGCTTGTAATGCCTTCATCTTCTCGCTTATCTTCTCTCTCCTCACCTAAAAAAATTGCAAATTCATCTTAGCATTTTGTTTTTTGTTTTGTTTTGTTTTGTTTTTTTTAATTATATAAAAAAACAAAACTTACGTCAATAAAAGAATATATACATCTATGCAAAATTCCATCTTTCAAACCTCTATTTAATTCTATAGTTGGGAGTTGAAGACCCTATATATATTTATATGTTTAAATATTTTATCTACATTTATGATTGAAGCCAGGATTTTTGTTTGTCACATGGACGGTGCATGTAAAGAAAAAGATGAACACAATCTTATTAAAAGATTCAATTCAAGTGTAAAACGGACAAGACAAAAATGTGTCATCTATAATAACTGCTTTCCAATAAACATTGATGGATGAAGTAGTGTTGTACATATAATATAATTCAGACTACATTTTGGAATGAAGGATAAAAATGAAAATTCAAGAATGTAGATAGTACCCTTTCAGCAAGACTATGGCTGTCCGTTGCTTCACCTCTTCTTGCTCTAACATAAACATACCCAATTTGCCCTTCTTTAGAGTATCTCATCTTTTTGTTTTTTTCTTGCTCAATATTGCTTTTATTTTGATTCCTCCATTTGTTGCAAGTGTTTTTTGTCATACCCTACAAAACAAAACCAAAATATTAATCAATTAATTAACTTATAACAGAATAAGAAAAATCAAGTAACTTTATTATTCACCTATTGCCTATTGCCACAATGGAATGTGGGTTGTGAAACTTGTAAAAATAAAAATAAATTATTGAATAAAGTTAATTGATTACATAAGAATCAGTTGTGGGCATCGTCTTCTCATGTATGTGACCATGAACCACCATTGGCATCGGAGATTCTGAGCTTTTTAAATTGTTGCAAATGTCGACTTGGTTGCTATGAGCACTCATTTCAATGGCACCAGTGGGGATAATATGATCATCATGGGATAGCTGGAACTCATCGGAGAAATCAATGGAGTCGGTGATGGTGCCATTGGCGGCTGGGTAAAGCAGGGATTGATCAAGAAGAAAAGGGTGGTGCTGCTCGTGGAATGGGGGAACTTCCATTGATGGTTTTTGCGGTAGAAAGATAGAGAATTTTGACAAAGAAAATGTTGGTCGATGACAATCATGGAAGTTCAAGTGTGTATGAATATATATATATATATATATATATATATATATATATATATATATATATATATATATATATATATATATATATATATATATATTGGTTCAGGTTCATTTGAGATCATTCTAATTTTGTAAGATCGTAAGACTAAATCTAAAAATAATTTTAAAATGCAAAATAAATGGAAAAATCCAAAAATTCTTATTTTAAATATTATTTTCAGAACTTGAATTAACTAAAAAAAATAAAAAAAATAAAAAAAAATAAAAAAAATTCCGTTTTTTTTTTTTTAAAAGATACGTGAAATATTCTAAATAGAATATTACATTGACATATTCTAAAAAATAATTTTAAAATGCAAATTAAATGGAAAAATCTAAAAATTCTTTTTTTTAAATATTATTTTCGGAACTTGAATTAACTAAAAAAAATAAAAAAAAAATTCTATTTTTTTTTAAAAATACGTGAAATATTCTAAATAGAATATTAGACTGTACATATCCTAAAAATAATTTTAAAATGAAAAATAAATGGAAAAATCAAAAACTTCTTTTTTTAAATATTATTTTCGGAACATGAATTAACTAAAAAAAATAAAAAATAAATAAAAAAAATAAAAAAAATGCATCTCACGGTCTCACAAAATCAAAAACTTCTTTTTTTAAATACTTCACGTCTTTTTAATAAAAAATAGATTTTTTTTTATTTTTTTTAGTTAATTCAAGTTCCGAAAATAATATTGAAAAAAAGAATTTTTAGATTTTTCCATTTATTTTGCATTTGAA